GCGGCTGGCGCTGCGGCTTGGGCCGCAGGGGTCGGTCCTAGGACCACTCCTGTGGGACGTGGCGTACGACGGGGTCCTGCGTGCGGCGTTTCCCGCCGGCAGCACGTGCGTGTGTTACGCCGATGACACGCTCGTGCTAGCCGGCGGGACCGACTGGGGGGAGGCCGTCGCCACCGGAAATGTGGCGGTGGCCTGCACGATTAGGGCCATCAAGGCGCTGGGGCTGAGGGTGGCGGCCAGAAAGACCGAGGCCGTCTTCTTCCATGACGGGTCGGCCGGACCGCCACCCGAAGCCCAATTAGGGGTAGACGGCGAAAACATAAAAGTGGGGGCCCACATAAAACATCTGGGCCTCCACATTGACGGGCGATGGGGCTTCGAGGAGCACGTAAGGAGACTGGCGCCCAGATTGGACAGCGCGGGAAACGCGCTATCGCGTCTGATGCCCAATCTGGGCGGGCCGAGTGGGAAGGTTAGGAGGCTTTACGCCAATATCATAACATCGATGGCGACGTACGGTGCCCCCGTGTGGGCGGAGGCCCTTCGGAGGAGCAGGAAATCCCTGACGATCCTCAGGGGGACCCAAAGGCGAATGGCCATAAGGGCCATACGGGGGTACCGTACGGTATCCCACACGGCGGCCACGCTGATGGCCGGGATGCCGCCCCTTGACCTGGTGGCAGCTGAGTACGCAAAAGTGTACCGGCGCACCAGGGAACTCCGGGGGCAAGGCGTCCCGGTCACGGCGAGGGCGAGGAGGCTCCTCGGAGCCCAGGCTAAGAGGGAGACACGGGAGGATTGGCGAGCGCGGCTTGCGAAGCCAAACACCCCGGGCAAGCGCACGGTGGAGGCCATCCTCCCGTGTCTGGACGCGTGGATGGAGCGCCCATGGGCGAGGGCCTATTTCAGGACGTCGCAGGTGCTCACCGGACATGGATGTTTCGGTGAGTACCTGCGGCAGATAGGGCGTGAAGGTAGCGGGAGGTGCCACCATTGTGGCGCGGACAAGGACTCGGCGCAGCATACACTCGAAGAGTGTCCGGAGTGGGATGCACAGCGCCGAGTCCTTGTCGTTAAGATAGGACCAGACCTGTCCCCCCGAGCAGTAGTATCTGCGATAACGGAGGACAGGGGGAAATGGGAGGCTTTCTCCTCCTTCTGCGAGCATGTCATGCTGCAGAAGGAGGAGGCTGAGCGGGTGCGCAGGGGAGAAACAATCCCCACAGCACCACAGGGCGGAGGAGCGGGGGCCAGAAGAAGGGTGAGGAGAGGCATCCCCGCACACTTGCGAAAATGGAACCTGGCCTGAGACAGGATAGGTTAAGAGAATCAGCCTCCGCGGGGGGGGGAGGCGGCTGACACTACGAACAGCCGCCTCCCCCCCCTGGAGGACTGCATGCGACAGCGGCAGAAGAGGAGAGTTGGGGGGCGGGGGTGCGGGATTCGTGGGACGTTCGACTTCGCCCCCTAGGGGCGGCGTCGGGTCGCCTGCTACCTGCGCCCCCGCCCCCCCAATGCCCCCCAAAGGGGGAGCAGGAGGAGGCGGGAGCTCTGGGCGTAACTACGGAGCACCCGGGGGTGGGCACGGGCTGGAGACCCGTGACCCACCCGCCCCCACAACACCAAGGGGGCGCGGCAGGGACCTGGTGGCACCCCTGCCGCGAAGCGACTAAAGAGGAGAAGGCTCTAATAATGAGGAAGTCTTTCCCCTTAAGGGAAATAAGTAGAGCGCGATTTAAGCGCGGCGTGGGGGTCATCCGGAGTTTTGCGTTGTTAGTACCCGGATGACTCCCCCAAAGCGCGCAGAGGCGGCCACTCCCGGTCGTTTTAGTGAGGTAGGCGCCCCCATTGCACACTGGCCTCGAGGTGTCAAATACTCGAGTGTCAGGGGGGCGAGTCCCACACACCACCCGTCCCTCTCTCCAGAAGGGGCGGGTGACGGTCCATGAGGATTTCCACCGGGTCAAAAAAAACAAAAAAAAAGTTTACCGCGGAGGTCCGGCCCCTCCCCCAGAAGAGACGGACCATGTCCGAATCAACCGCGGGGAGGCCACGATTTCCGGCCCACCCTTCGGCCAGGACCACGTCCTGTTGCCTCCGGGGTCCGGCTCTCCCCCGCCCGCGAGCACGTCCACGACGAGCCCGCTGACGGAGGAGCTCCCCTTGCCACCGCCTCCTGCCGGAACACCGGCGTACAATGGAGACGGTGGCCTCCTCCCGAATCCCAGCCGCCTGCCGGAACACCGGCGTGCAATGGCAACTGGGATTCCTGCCCTCTTGCCCGGGTTCCCCCCGATCCCTGCCGGAACACCGGCGTGCAATGGAATCGAGGGGGAGACGACCTGGTCCGGTGGGTGGAGCAAGGTCCCCCTATCGGCCCCGGAAGCCGGAGGTTTAAAGTCACGGTACCTCATCCCCTACCGGCGAGTGGTCTCGACCTTGTCCTCCTAAAAGCGGAGGGCAGTGCCGAGACCGGAATCGCCGGGCTCCTTGTTTCCCCTTTTCAGGGGAAAGGCAAGCTCTTAGTCGGCGAGAGCCCGTCACCGAAACCGCCGATGCCTAAAACGGCACACAGCGGCTTCTAGACAGACCCTCGTCTACAAGCCCCCTCACCACGTCAAGGTGGCTTGCCACGAGGGGGATTCTCCTTTGGACCTAACTCAACCCATACTCTGTAAGCGAATTGCTAACGTGATGGAGCAATTTGATCAGCAGGATTACTTTATTTTATTAAAAATCTATAAGAAACACTTAATCTGATTAGAGTTGCTTGATAAAATTCTTTTTGTCGGCCTCTAATATCAGAAAGAAAATTGTATTCAATATTATGAATAGAGAATAAATCTTTATTATAAAGAAAGACATTTTTCTCTATTTTTAATTTTCTCTATTTTTCTTTTAAGTATTTTCTTTTAAGTATGTGTTTATGGGGCTTACTTCGTTTAATCTCTATTTTCTCTATGCTATTAAGGAACGCCCAAGGATATGGATCGCAAGGGAGGAAATTAATTTTTCCACTCTTTTTCTTTTAATTCAAATGGCAAATTAATTAGAAGGTTTATTCTTCTTATTGTACAGCTAATATATATATTTATGATTGGTTTTTGGGAGAGTAAATATTTTTCGACGCCGAGGGAGACTTCGGGATCCTTGGAAGTCGTCGAGGTCCGTGACTGCTTGGGTGTACTTGACCTGGAGCAAGGGACGGGTGTTCCTTCCTGGGAAGATGTAGTCCGTGTCCGTGGTGGCTGATGATCGTTTCGCCTTGGTCCTTCGGTACCTGAAACTGAAAAGTTATACGGCGACTAGGTGCCTGTACGTGCGGCTAAGAACGCACGGTAGTGAAGCGACTCAGCGCTGTGTGCGGTTAAGACGCACAGAGTGACCCCCCCGTGTGGGCCACCTTGTCATGGTGGGGGGGCTTAAGGCGGGCGTTCGGCCTGGAGCCGTCGGTGCCGTTTCAGGCTCCGGCGGTTCCACCGGCTGGGCGTCCGCTGACTAAGAGCCCACTTGGCCGAGTTACGGCCAGGGCAGGTGGGAGAAGCGATGTCCCATGGACACTTGTCCGGAAGGGCATCGTGGATCCCCCTGCAGACCCCGTGACCAAAGGTCTTGGTCCGGGGCGCGACCGCCGGTGTCCCGCGGACAATTGTCCTTACGGGCACTGGGGGTCGAGGGAGGTCCCTCCATACCGGGGCTGGTGGGGCATTTCCCATCAGAGCTCGGGGGGGGGGAACGGGGGCGAATTTTCGGTTTCCCCATGTCAGGGGGGCCGGGAAGCCGCCCCGCCCGGGTAGACGGGCTGACGAGGCCGCTCGGACGCATTCCGAGGCAGGGCTCGGCAGCCTGGGGCCCGCGGAGCCGCTGGGACGTTTCCCAGGTCGGGGTCCGGGGCCGTAGGCGGGGGGTTGTCGGGGCCGCTCGGACGTTTTCCGAGTCTGGATCCGGCAGCCCGGGCGGGGCTTCGGGGGCGTGCGCT